CTTGCGCAGCAGGCGGCGAAACCACTGAGCTAAATCCCCGGCCTTAATACTATCTTTTAGGTGGGCAATGACTTGTCCTTTGCCCAGTGATTCTCAAGAAGGAAACACCTCCAGGCTAGTAAGTTCTGCATTTTATTGTGTGCTCTGAAACAGTTTATGTGTAAGTTCTCTAGGATAGGTGAAAAAAATTAAACAAAAACATATGCCAAGCATATCGTAGGAATATACCATAAAGGTTGTTCTCCTTTCTCCTCCTGACTTGTAAGCCTAAATTCCAATCGGCCCCAAGAATCTCCAAAGATTCCTTCCGCATCTCTGACTGTGAACAAAATATAAATCTTCCTCATCTCAGAGGCCCTAGGTCGGCTGGGAAGCCAAGTCCCCATCGTGATCTGAGTAGTGCCCACCGCCTTCGTGGAAGAGTCCCTGTAGCCAACTCCCTTCCTTACTCTGCAGACGTACGCGGGTGTGTGTGTGTGTGTGTGTGTGTGTCTACTGCAGTTTCCCAACTTAGCCAACTCCCCTTACTCTGCAGACATACGTGTGTGTGAGTGTGTGTGTGTGCGTGTGCGTGTGTGTGTGTGTGTGTGCGTGTGTGGCTACTGTAGTTTCCCAACTTAGCAGGCCAGGAGCCCCAAAGAGCCCTTCAATCACTTCATGGTCCAGAGATGGAAACAGGCTTATCCTGGGTAAGAACGGAAATGACTTGCCCAAGACCACACCAACGAGTTGGTGGCAGCGCCAGGTCAGGTTAAGACACTCGCAGCCTCACAAATTCGCGAACACTTCCCAGGATCCGAGGGGGACTCCAGATCACCCCTTCCCTGAGAGGTGGACTAAGATGTCACTCTGTGCTGACCGCTCACGGGCTTTTGAAAGTCCGCGGCAAAAGGCGCTTCACCCATTCCCGCTGGACCCGCGGGGTTCTGAGGGGCCGCCCAGCCGGGCCCGTGTCTCACTACGGGTTCCGCCCAAGAGGACTTGTTGCTCACCTGGCCTCGCGCTGTCGCTCTCAGAAACAGGAAAGGCCGGACGGCTGCCAGTCCCCGTACCGTGTCTGCTCCAGCCGACCGACTCTCAGGGCAGCCACACAGCCGGACCACCTCAAAGCGCTACGCCCCCAGCCGCGCTCGTCCGTCCCGTGTCCGCCATTACGCGATTCCCCGCCCTGGGACGCAGCCACACACACCCCAAAGGCCCTGATTGGTTCTCCTCTCCACCCATCTTGGGCTTCTTCCCATTTCATTGGCCTGGATGAGCTGCCAGTTAGGTAACTACGCAAAAGACGTACTCTAGGGTACTGTCCCGGGAGCTCCACCCGAGCGACTTCCGCAATCGGAGTAAACAGCGCAGGGCAAACCAAGTGAAGTGGGGTTGCAATTAAGGCTAACCAATTCCTACATTCATAGTAGAAAGATACTGGCAAATAAAGTGTAAAAACTCACCCAAAGCGTGTTGAAAGGCTATTTCTTCTTATTAGCATTGAAATAACCAGATTTTTCGTAAAAGGAGGGAGCCAACCCCTAGAACTTTCAGCAGACACCCCTCAAACTGCAGATAGTTTTGTCCCTTCATGCCAGGTTTTTGACCCGGAAAGTAGGGTGGGGACAATGAGTCACAGGCTTCTTCCTTCACCTAAAGGGTCTTTCCTAGGCGAAGCTTGGGACCTGGGAATCAGAGCTAGTTCTGAGAAATCACTTTCAGGTGAGCTGGACCCAAGTTCAACTGCTACCTCACTTTATGACCACAGACAACTCCCTGAACTTATCTGGGTCTCAGTTTGTTCTTCTGTAAAATAGGCTCAGAAGGCTCAGGCATATTCTCACGTACTGGAGTAATTTTTGAGGATTCGTCCCTGAGCGGGCATATGCACCTCTTGTTGATTATAGAAAGCTGGATAACAATGTGACAAATGCACAAGTTAGCAAAGATACCTCACTTAGTTCTCTAGAGCAACTCTATAAGGCGGCTACTGTCCTCAGCTTGCAGAAGAGAAAATTTGCTTCTCCGTGACTGCATGAGTCAGGGTTACCTAGGGAATTTGAAACAACCTTGCAACTCAAACCTGCATCATTTAGCTTCCATTCCTGTATTTCCCTCTCCGAGATATTACGTGAGAAGGACTTCTCCAACCAGCCCCTTAGCAGGGCAGGGCTGGGCGTAAGGGTACCAGGCAGTCACCTCTCTCTTTGGTCACCATAGACTTGGGTGCAGGCCTCCCTGCCAACTAGTGTTAATAAACACACCAGAAGTGTGCCCAAGCTGTTTCGGGGATCCTTAGGAATCAGGAGGTGGGCAGGGGATGACAGGTAGGTTAGCAACCTAGGCAAAATCCCAAATGAGGACACCACTGTAGGCCCTTAATGGGATGGCTTCATGCCAGGACTCAAATTCAGGTCTCTCTGCCCTTAGAACAGAGCTCTGTTAACCACAGGATTGTTTTTCCCAGAAAGGCTGCCTTGGCTGTAATTCCTTGTCCTTTTCTCTCTCTGGAAAGGAAGGAAGCCAAGAAGGCAGTGGGAAGGGAGCAGCCTAAGACTTTAGAAGGGCAAAAACCCCCCAAGTGAGTAGTGCCAGAAGGGCTTTGGTACCCCCTGGGCTGCTGTCCACCAGGCCCAAATTGGGACCGTTAGTCTGACAACCAGTTGCCGTTTAAATCCAGGCTGCGGGTGCTGAGAGGCAGCTGTGCAGAAGCAGCACTGACTTTGGGGTTGGATCACATGAGACCAAATCTAGCTCCACCACTTTCTAGCTCTCTGAGCCTCACCTACCTCCTAAAATGGAGACAACAAAGCAGTTGTGCAGATTTAGTGAGTTAATTGTGGAATTAATGAGTCACATGTGTAAAGTGCTCTTTATTCATTCATGGATTCATCCATTCAAAAAAAATTATGTGTGTCAGTGCATACCTAAAATCCTAGCACTCTGGGATGCTGAAGCAGGAGGATTGCAAATTCAAGCCCTGCCTGGGCAAGTTAGCAAGACTCTGTCTCAAAATAAAAAATTTAAAAAGGGCCAGGGATGTAACTCAGCGCAGGACCTTGGGTTCAATCTCTAGTAATTCAAAAACAAAACAACAATAAAAAATTATTAAGCAGGGCCAGGGATTTAACTCAGTGGCACCATGCCTGCCTTGCAAGCACAAGAACCTGAGTTCAATCCCTGGTACAAAAAAAATTATGAAGCATTTATTGCACATAGAGCAGCCTGCCAGTGGTACCAATACATTCCTGGGCAAGACAGATACCTTCACAGAGCTTAGAGTGTGGGTGAGGAAGAAAGTGGTTAAACTGATGATCAGCTGTTGATGCATGCCTGTAATCCCAGCACTCAGGAGGCTGAGGCAGGAGGATTGCTAGGAGTTGAAAAACCAGCCTGGGGTACATGGTGAGTTCAAGACAAGCCTGAACTACATAGAAAGACTGTGTTTCCAAAACAAAACAAAAACCAAATGATCACAGGGCCAGAGATTTAGCTCAGTGACACACCACTTGCCTCACAAGTGCAAGGTTCTGCGTTTGATCCCTGGTATGGGGCGGGGGTGAGGGGCTGGAGACAAACCAGATGATCAGACAAGTTCGAAACTGATGTGGAATAAGAAGGAAAAGTGCACTGTGTCTGAGTGACAGGTGGGGCCAAAGGAAGCTTCTTTGAGCAGGTGATGCTGGGGTGAGCTGATAAATGGAGATCCATCCATTCATAATGAAAAGGAGGTTGAGAGATGTGGCACAGGGCAGAGAAAGGGTGCAGAGGGTATGCAGGCCAAGGGGCATAGTGCTCATGGGGATGGAGAGCAGAGCACACAGGACCTGAGGGCCCCAAGACAATGTTATGGTTATTTCCAGATAAATGAGGGTGTTACAGGAAAGGGAACCTGGCTTTGAAAGGGGCTGTCCTCCAAGGGTCTTTACACTTCGTAGGAAAATGCAGGGCTTCCAGGCAGACTCTCCTGGGTTTGAATCCTTGAGTCTTGGAAGGGTGGGTGGGTAAAAGGGAATCAAACCCAGGGGTCCTCTACCCCTACCCCTTTATTATTTCTTTATTTTGAGACAAGATCTCTCCAAATTGCCCAGGCTGGCCTTGAACATGTAGTAGTTAGGACTGCAGGCATGGACTACCAGGCTCAGCTGAGTTTAACTCTTGACTCTACCAATTCAACCAGGATGGTGTGACCCCGAATAGTCACCAAACCTAGCTGTGCCTCAACTACTCTTCTGAAGAATGGGGATGATAGAAAGTTATAAGGTGGGGGTGAGGATTTAATGGGGAAAGAAATGTGATAAAGTATCTGCCACATACAAGGCACTCCATGAAGAGTGCTTGGGCCAGGCATGGTGGCACATGCCTGTAATCCCAGCACTTGGGAAGCTGAAACAGGAGGATTGCAAGTTCAAACCCAGCCTACACAATTTAGCAAGACCCCAAATAAATAAAAAGGGATACAAGCAGAAAGACCTGAGTTTGATCCCCAGTACCAATAAATAAATAAATAAATAAATAAATAAGGTGCCGGGGATTTAGCTCAGTGGTTCTGCCACCTACCTCGCAAGCACAAGGTCCCGAGTTCAATCCCCAGTACCCGCACATACACACAAAAAAAGGGATGGGGATGTAGCTCATTGCAAAGGCCATGGATTCAATCCCTAATACTAGGAAGAAAAATCAGTGCTTGGTCTTATCAGAACGGAGTGAGGTAGCTTTAGACAACAGGTTCAGCAGACGGTTTTGGGATAGAGCTGATGCAAACATCCACGTCCCGGGCAAATTGTAACCTGACCGTAATTATAGGAAAATTTGAAGCCAGACAACAAGCCTGGGTTCAAATCACTGTCATACCATTTCCTAGCTGTGTGACTTTGAGCAAGTGACTCCACCTCTCTGAGTCTTAGTTTCCTTACCCATAAAATGGGTCTCATAACTGTTTCTATTTCCCTGAGCTGTGAAGATCAAATGAGATAATAAATTTGAAATACTTAGAACAATAATAACAATAAACTGTATGTAGAAAGCAGCTGTTGAATGTTGGCTCTAATAATTGTTCTATTACTGTTACTGATATCAGCAGTTCCTACCTACCTGTTGTAGAAATTAAGATTCTGATGTTTTGCTTACAGATTGTCCAAAAACTGAAGCCTTAGTTTTTCCTATTAGACGATGTAGATAAACATGTTGCTTTCAGAGGAGCTGATGTTGTGCATACTAATAGTAATATTAATAAGTACCAACATTTACTGAGCATTCACCATATGCTAGGTATGTGATAATTGTTTTACGTGGATTAAACCATTAACCCTGATAGCAGCCCTATAAGTTGGGTGCTGTTGTTGTCCTCATTTTATATGTGAGGTCAAAGAAGCACAGAGAGGTTAGGTGATTGGACACCCAGTTAGGGAGCAACACAGCTGGAATTTACCCAACCATGGAATTTGAGAACTCCATTGGGAAAAGCTCTCCCTCTTCTACTCCAATAAAGGTATCACCCAAAAGGTGTTACCCAGAGCACTGGAATTACTTGCTGCCTGCAGCAAGTCCCCAGGTTGCAAAAACCAAACCCCATTCCCTTCCTACCAATCCTAAAATGTCACTCCTGCCTATACCCTGAGAAGAGCAAGAAACAGACCCTCTTTAGGCAGGGGGGAGTTAAAAAGATTAAGAGTCACCAATGCTGGGTCTGAATCCCAATCTTCTGGCCTAATGACTCCGGTAACTGTGGCCAAGTCACACCCCCTCCCTTAGCCTCAGTTTCCTTATCTATGAGATGAGGATGATAAATCTCTGCCTACAAGGCTGTCTTGAGGAACCACAAGACAAAAGGCCCACACAAGCTCAAAAGTGCAGTTCCTGTCATTCTTGCTGTGGGGATGGTGAGCCCCTTTGGGAAAGCAGCCCAAGTCAATACCAGGCAAGATGGCCATCTTTAGAAACAGATGTGGGTTCGAGCCCCAGGTCTGCCTTTTATGCCCTAACCTGGACAAGTTATATAACCTGGGGGAGCCTCAGTTTTCTCATCTATAAAATGGAGTGAATGCCGGGGATTTAGCTCAGTGGTTCCACTGCCTGCCTCGCAAGCGCAAGGACCCAAGTTCGATCTCCAGTACCAAAAAAAACAAAAAAAAATGGAGTGAATAATGCTGAGAGAAAATACCAGTTGAGAATGCATCAAAGGCCATGAGCCAGTGCCTGA